GACAGAAAAAGATAGACGATATTTGAAAAATTGGAGACCAATATCACTCTTGAACATTGATTACAAAATAGCGTCTGCAGCAATAGCAATTAGAATCAAACAAGTACTTCTGAATATTATTAGTGAATCTCAAACTGGTTTTATTAAAGGTAGATTTATTGGAGATAATACTAGGCTATTGTATGATGTAATGCAATTTCTAGATGAAAAAAATCAGCCTGGGTTATTGTATCTTTTGGACTTTGAGAAAGCTTTCGATTCTGTAGAATGGAATTTTATTGATAAAGCTTTGGAATCTTTTAACTTTGGTTTATCTTTACGTAAATGGTTCAAGACTTTGTATAATGATTCAAAAAGTTGTATTATTAATAACGGTCATATATCGCCTTTCTTCAATCTCGAACGTGGCTGCCGCCAAGGGGACCCATTATCAACGTATATTTTTATTATTGTTGTTGAACTATTAGCACTATCATTGAAATCAGACAATGGTATCAAAGGTTTGGTAATATCTGGGAAAGATTTTTTACTTGGGCAATACGCAGATGATGCTTATCTCCTCTTAGATGGATCCAGCCATTCTCTTTCTACTGCTGTACACATTTTAGAAAATTTTGCTATTTTATCAGGGTTAAAGGTTAATTTACAAAAGTCAAGCTTATATTGGATTGGGAGTAAGAAATTTTCAGAAGACAGAATATGCCCAGAATTGAATTTGAAATGGTCAACAGACAAATTTAAGTTACTTGGTGTAACTTTTTCTCTTAATATTCAGGATATGGAAAGGATAAATTTTGATAGTAAATTGCACCAAATAGATAAAATTTCCAGACTCTGGTCATGTTGTGATCTCACCTTAATAGGTCGAATAACTATTGCAAAGACTCTTATTATACCAAAATTTGTACACTTATTAACCTGTTTACCAAACCCTTCTAGCCTGTTCAGAAATAAACTCAATCAGAGTATTTACAATTTTGTATGAAAAAAGTGAAAAGATCAAACGAGATATATTAATTGCTAGCTTAGAAGATGGAGGACTGAATATGACACATTTGGTTTCTTTTATTAAAAATTTAAAGGTTAAATGGATAAAAAGAGTTTATGGAGAATTCAATGCATCATGGAAATCACTACTTAATGAAATCTTTCCTGTTGATATTGATATCTTATTTGATCTTGACAGAGTAAAACTGAGAGAAATTGGAAAAAATGTAAAAAATCAATTTTGGCAGGATGTATGTTTTGCATTATCTGAAATTCAATTTGAAGCAACATCTATTCAGGAATATTTGGGCAAGAGTTTGATAAATTTAGTTCCATACAAGAAAATAAAAAAGGCTGTTCTCTGGAGTCAGCTTGGGCTGAGAAGCATTAGTGATCTTTATGAAAATGGGGTACTTAAAAACTATGGTGAATTCTCTGATGTACCATCGTTTGATTTTATTGAGCATTTGTCTTTAGTTAATAAGTTGGAAAGAAAGTGGAAGTTAGAATTAAGACAAGAAGTAGAAAATGCTAACACTATCACTCCTATTAAAGGAAAGGACATCATTTCTTCAATTATGATTGAAAAGAATTTAAAGTGTGTGTATAAAATGTTCATTGAAAAGATAGTTATTAAGCCATTAAGATGTCAAGTAAAATGGGCAACAAAAATTAATTTTAACGAAAATATTAGTTGGGGTGATGTATACACTAGTTGTTTTAAATGTACAAAAGAGACCAAACTTCAAGCATTTCAATATAAAATTTGTCACAGAATACTTCCTACAAACTATACCTTATTCAAAATGAAAATAGCATCCAATGAACTTTGTACTTTCTGTGAAAGAGAACCAGAAACAGTGGAACACATCTTCACCCAGTGTTATTTCACAATCCGACTAAATGAGGAATTTACTGCCTGGTATGTACAGTACAATAATCTACATATATATACATCATTTAGAGAAGTAGATATTTTGTTTGGAAAACCTGAATTTGCACTCTGTTTGAATCATTTAATACTATTGTTAAAACAGCACATTTACTCTTGTCGAGTTAAAGAGTGCATACCTAACTTTGAAATTTGTAAAATTTTATTCAAAAAGACAATGAAAACTGAAAAGTGGGTTAGTATAAAGAATAATAGATTAGCGGAATTTCAACAAAAATGGGGATATTTTGAAAATGCGTTGGACATATAAAAATACTTAACGTTGCTTATATATATTCCCCTTTTTATATTTTAGATCATTAGTAACAAAACACATATCAAGAGTGATGTTTCAGTTGGGTAAGGCCCTCTGACAATGCCCCGGGGTACCCTTTTGCACACAATGTCACTCTTTTTTCTTGGGGGAGGGGTGGGGGGAATCCTGTAAATGAGAATTGTGTACATGTGGTAACAGTGAGAATGGTGAAAGGTGTACAGTTATGTTTAGATTTAGCTTATTGTTAGCAGTCGTAATGTTGAATGTAAGGAATGTCAGTATGAACATTTAAGACTAACAGTATGTGTGTAGGTGTGTGCACATGTATTTCATAGTCTGGAATATGAGAAGTTTGAATGATGTGTGAAAGTATGAGAGCCCTCCTGTGTAAGGACACATTTGTAATCTTATGTATGTCTCGTCTTAGTCAATAAAATGTTTTGAAAAAAAAAAAAAAAAAATACTGTCAATCTTGGTACCAACAGTAAGGTGTTCTTTGATAAGGACACCTAGATCCTCCAGAGCCTGAGGGTTGTTTTCAGTTTCAATGAATGGTTCCAATTTATCTTCTTCTATCAGTCAATCATATTTTTACTCCAACCTGTAACAGAAGTGGAATTATATAGTAAACAAAAGTATTTGTATGATATAGAACTATAAAAATGTCTCTGCTACTTTAAAATCAGTGGATCGCTATATATATAGATTTGGGACAGGGCACAATGTGGCAGAGAGATGGACATGGGTGCAACGCTTGATACCCCTTCCCCTATCCCCATTTAATGGCGAAGGCATCATAAAATCAAAATAAAACTAGCAAATTATAAATATGTGTTTATATATTCATATTGTATATATGATTTATACCGAATTTCCAAATTCATGCGAAGTTCTGTCTACAGATCTTGAAAGCAGTATGATTGAAAGTAGAAGGTTATAATGATGCAGTGAAAAACACTTAAATATTTCATTGATATACACATCATATTTACCAAATGTTATTCTCAGAGCTTTATATAGATATTGTTAATTCTGATTTAACTCTGACTTAAGACAAGAGCTTCAACTGGAATTAATAAATTGAAAACATTTAATTTGACAGTTACCTATGAAATGGATTTTCACTGAGCCATCATTAGTTTCTGTGTAGTCTAATATCCGGACAGGATGTAATCCAGGAGTCCATGTTAGCCTATCATCTGCCCTGAAACACTTTCCCCTTGCAGGTCCAATATCGACAGAATTCAGTTCTCTGAAATCATAATAAATGAATGAATTTCATTTCGACACAACCTGGTATACAATGACATATAGACATAGGCTGATTAGGGATGGGATTGTGGTTATGTCAGGGAGACGGGATTGGGATGTCGGTTGTGGTTTGATTTATTAGGCATAATGTCCTACAATTTTCACACATAAATTTCCCCCGACACCGGATTGCAAAACTAATAACTCCCGTATCACTTCAGTCTAAAATCAGAAAATATTATTTTAACACTCACTTCAAATATAAGTTAACATTGATATCATACTCACTTATAAGAACCTACCGGGTCTCCAATAGCCCCAGCTTTGCGATTTGTATTTCTCCGCCTTCGTGCTGTTGCAGGATAACAAGGGCGGGTAACTCTAATTCATTGTGCAAAATAAAGTTGATATGGTAACTGTAGCCACTTTAGACGTTGTTTATGGTTTATGTCTCTGATGTAACTAGGTAACATCCTTGTAGCTCATCTTTGGACATTTTCTACTGCCTCCATATCCTTTTTCTTATAAGGTGACCAGAGAGAGCTTGCATATTCCACATAAGAAAAAGTAAGCAGAACGTTCTTTTGTCTAAATATATAAAGCTACTTCTCATGAGCCCAACAATCTGATTTGCCTTATTTACTAGAACATGTATCTATGGTTACCCCGATATCTCTCTCGCTTTCAATATTTCATTAATAATGGACCAATTCAAACTTACGTGTTGTAAAAATTCCCGTGAAAGTAGATTGTCTGAAATTTGATACTTTGTTGGTATCTTTAGTATTGTAATTCTATAACTATTGTGCCAGTGATATGTATTCTTTGGCTACGCTTTTCTTTGTATATTGTAGGTGCTTCTGTATTTGACTATTTTAGGACAAACATTCGAAAATAAGACATCGTACATGCTAATATAGCTGCCTCGTTGTCACGGGACAAAAACCCTGCACTTTCAGATGACAATGATTTGAACATTGACGTTTTTAATGATAAACATACTGACAGGTCGTGTGGTAGGCCATCGTGTCAGAAGAGGTTTTACCGTGATAGTATATAAATATTGGGAGCTATCCATAATATTAGCGCTACCATCACTCAAGAGAGATACCATGGTAGACAAACACGTATACACATCATTATGATTATATAGCGAGCGAATGGTAGTGATGCAACACGCCGCAAAGTTTGCCAAATGGACGATTCAGTATTGCGGAAAGAAGACACAGAGAACCGATAGAAATTTAAAAAAAAAATGTTTTCGAAGGTTTGGGGAGATCCAAATTCAGAGGTCCCGATTCAATTTAGCAAAATAACTGACGCCACTTTACATGTTTTCCTTCGTCTTGATAAAATTTTGGTCATTCGTATAATTTAAGACACACATTAAAGTACTGTCTACATTTTATTTCAATATATATATATATATTTGCATTTTATGACAATGTTTCCTTTCCCGTGACTTTTCGCTCGGTATTCTCGGGTGTTTTCTAATCAAGCCATTGACACGAGGAGTTCCGTTGGCGCTGACGTCGTGTCACATGGCTATCCAAAATGGCGATTGACAGGAAACATCCGCTATTTCTCACTGTGATATTTGGACTGGTTCTAGGTGAGATACGTTACTAAAACGCACATTTATTGACATTTTAGTGTTTCTTTATATCAAAAGCATATATTCACCATAGATCATACTTCATGCCTATACCTTATGCTTCTGAATTGAATATCGGCTTTCTCCAGATTTGCGAATGACCTTATCTGGCCAGCAACACAGGAATTCATTTACTTGTAGATTTCAGTGAATCGTTGCAGACCATTTTCTTTCTCAATATTAGGCACCAGATCAGTTTTTGTCAGTTATTAGCGAATCCAATTTGCTAATTATGGTGTAAACAAACTCTTCCAATGTTTTGTAGTAACTCGAGCTGGCTCGTCATGAACGTGTAACTATATTATGTATATACATGTATAACGGTCATGAACATCAGTACACCTGCACGTTTCAGATTTATATAAAGCTCCAGCATGAATCTTGTCTCGTCATCATTATAACTGGTTGGCACACTTGTGAAGTGGTGATATTAAAACATAAGCACTGAAGGTCTTAAAAAGGGCTGAATATATACCACTATGCATGTAACACAGCTGGCATTTCATGCATATGCTAGAAACTGAACTAAAATATATCACATGTTTGCCAGGAATGCCTTTTTATATCTTTGTATACTTGGCATAATTTCATTACTATTTCCTTTATTTTCTCAAATTAGGAAGAGCTATATGATAACATGGGCAGTGAACACAATAATATTTCAAACTATATAGAAACAAATGTATGCACACTTACACGGACATAGCAAATTGAAGTTAATACAAAGTAAACATGAAAAAGTACATGCTCTCTCATGCATGCAACAATAATGTATCCTATGATAATTATAGCATTCAGTACAGTCTGGAATATTCACAAAACGTAGTATGATTTATGTAATAATCTGCCCTCAGAAAGAGAGTGCTATCCATATCTTAAATAAAATGTTCATGTTTTGTCCTTATATTTTTCCATTGAAGGTGTTTCATTCTTGAACTGCCTTCATTAAGAAATTTAGTGGCTTTTTTACCATTATTTATTCAGTTCATTTTAATGAAGGTGAAATATGGCTATAATAAAATAAATATGAAATATGACTTCAGCAGTCCTTTTGTTTATACAGCTGGAGTTGTCTCCCAGGATTTGATTGTGACACATGCACCAAAGTATGTACATTTCCAGGAACAAACTGAGAAACTTCAGACCAGTGATGTACCTAAAGTCATCTCTCACACCCTTGGAGTTCCAGCAGAGGTACTAACTTAGTGATTAAGTATACATGTCCTGTTGTAAAAAAAAATCATTTTTAAATTCTGATGAGAATTATTGGTTTATATTCTTACTTTTTGATGACCATCACAAGTTGATATTTTTTTTTTATGAATTTATTATGAATTGATTAGTTACTTCCCAACACTTACTACAAGGGGCATTACACATTTCCAAGCATTGAGTATCAGACATGTCATCATGTAGGAAGCAGTAGATCTACTTAAACAAGATCTTTTTCTGAGTGATTCATCAGATTCGGAGTCAGAAACAGAAGAAGGAAAGCAGGGGAGTCGGAACCACCGAGACCTAGCCTATTTATCCAGTTCAACCCACACTATCTGTTTAGACGAGGAAGAGTATTAGGAGAAATGAACACTGTTATTACGTTACAATTTATTTAGCAAACAAAGACTGGTTAAAATTAATTATATTCAAGGCAGTTATCTGCCCGTTCTATTTCTATCTTTGTACATACGTCATAATTTAAAGTTATCCTCCCGAAGAGTACTTCAGGGGGTATGTTCACTGAAAAATTGTCCAGATGAAGACCTTGCGATAAGGTCGAAACAAGTAGACAAGTAAAGTTTCTACTAAATGATATAAGCTTGAGTATGTTGCGGTTATTATTCCTCTTCTATAATAAGACATGTCGTTTCTGACAACGACAGCTTATCCTGCTGTTGTCCAGTAAACTCAATAGCATTTTCTTGAAAACACTAATACTAGCTAAGTTATAAGTTACCACTACTACAGAGGAATATTCAAATTTGTTATAATTAGAATCAAAAATGGAAGAGAGGAGAAAATCATCTTGGTTGATAGCATTTGTTTTGAATATGATTAATAGTTTGTTCAGAATAAGTTCAGCTTTATATATGAACAATGCTATATATATACATGATTTCTCAAAACTTGGATGTTCACAACAATCCTGCACTGTATAGTTTGAACAGAGTTTTTTATTTTAATGAAAAGGACATGTTCTGGATTTATCATGCGGTACATTTCTGTTGGCTTAAGAATCCTGTGAAGCAATCAGCTGTCATTTCTTCATTTTAAACAAATCTCATTCTCTATCCAACCTGGATTAAGCTGAACTTGGAAGGAAAGTGTATGTTCATGATCAAGACCAGTTTGCTATTTTTGAAATGATTCAAAATCTGATATTGTTACCATGTGATCTACCTGGTAAACTCTATCTTCAACTTAATTTCAAAATTTACAGGAGATTTATATTACATGTATAAGAAATTCATATTTTATTAGTTCTGTTGTTAATTTAAGAATTGCCTCCCTTTTTCATAGGAGGTGTCATGGACAGGACTGAAACATGGGTCATTGTTTAAGCGACCAAAAGCCAATGTTTTAATCTCAGTGACAGGATACGAGGGCATCAAAGAGAATCCTCTCAAACTGAAGAGTATTGCCAAGTACCCGGTCACAAATGTGAGTACTTTGTATCGTCACCTCCAACTGCAGAGGAATTGTGTACATTTTTAGTTTACCAAGCTCGTATTGTCTAAAATTTAGTGTGGATCATGTTTTGGTGAAGGGGAATCAATTTTGTATAAGCAGTGGGTATCGGGGCCTCCTCAGGCAAGAGAGACGAGGCCTAATGGGGGAAATAGAGCAACTTATTGAAAATCCTTCTTCTCTGGTAGGAATAATTTGATTTAGTTCAAATATGATGTGAAGTATATTTGGGTAAAGGGGAATCAATTTTGTATAAATTGTGGGTCTTGCAAAAAGTGATTATGTGCTAAAATTTAAAAATCAAATGAAATTTATTTACAGTATAATATTTCTTCATCATTAACATATGCTTTCCACAGATCAATTTATATTTTTCAGGATGTACCAAGCTTGGATATAGGAGAGTTAATGAACAACCTACAGAACACATTCTTTGACAAAAACCCTCTTCTCTTGGATGCTGGAGTGGATAATAGCGTAACTATTTAATGTCTTATTAAATATGACCTTTCAGAATTTAGGAATAGAATTTTAAAAAGCATGATCCCTAGTTACCATATTTATCCTCCATGTGCCGGTATGTAATTTCAGACTAAATGTCAGGGACTTGGCTTATTATATTACAAGACATTGAAAGAGCCTTGTTTTGTAATTTTATTGAACAACATAAAAACATGGTTGACCTTATTACCTAGCAAGCATGGGCTTTTTGCAGGATAAGTGTGGTATTAACAAGATTTAGAGATTTCATTCTGTTTCCTCTCGGACAAACACAATGGAATCCTGATTTACTTCCATCATTAATATTGCTTTCGTGTTAGTAATTTTAAACGGTTGGTACGAACACTAAAGAAAAAGACCAGGACTGATCGCAACCAAGTCTGGACTGCAGATTGAGAGGTCCTGCTATACCTGCCCATTTTCTGAATTTCATTATAAAACATGATCGGTGCACACACACATTTCTCGAAACATTATGCTATTAAGTATGAGTTAAATGGATCCCATCTTCATTCTTCATCATGTTATGCTTGACTGGAAATAAGTTACGATAATCTGTGAAATGTTTCTGTTTTTGATGTTACAATGACACTTAAAGGAAACTTTTTATTGCTGTGGAGGAAAATTTTTCATTTCTTGTGAAGAGGAACCAGTGGCTGTTCTACTCATTTAAACCCCATCCACCAATGACTAACTTCTCTGTAGTTATTATGTGACATACTAACAAGGATTACTCTACACTCAATTTTGATGGAAAGACACTGATGTAGTAAAGATGGGGATTGGATTATACTTTAACATTAACCATGGTTTTATGGAGCAATTCCTCTCAGAATATATTCCAAATGGTTCACAAAGTAATGTCTGTGGTTATCGAGACTTGCTATTATAATCTCCCTCAAATCAATGGAGAGCGTAAAGCTGGAGCAAGCTATATGATTAACTCTTTCGGCCCCAATTATCTCTCACAATGTACAGCTCAGCGCCAAATATTTTCTGGAAAATATCCGAAAACAATGGCAGCATTACTGAAATAAAGATATTAACTTTGTGGATCAAAGCCACCTATGGCGGCCTGTCTGCATGTCAGCTTTAGTCGCCTATGGTGCCGAAAGGTTTAAAAACCTAAAGACATCATATATAAAGGAAAATTTAATAGAATTCAGATTAGTTACTTGTTTCACTTGCATTGCTTAGATATGCTTTCTTTCAAAATTATTTACAATTTTTTTGCTTTCTATTATTCAGTTTTTTGACGTACACACAGACTTCGATGTGTTCCGTAAAATCCCAGACACAATGCGTCGTATGGCTGACAGGTTGACTGATCCCGATTCTCTTCTTCAAACTCTTACCACAGGCACACTAAACTCGTCATCACCATCCCATCTCAAACTGATGGGTGAGCTCCAGATGATTCAGGATGTCTTTAACACGGTATATCTCTTCAATTTTTCAGTACTGTTCAGCAACTTTCTTTTATGACTGTACAACTTTTTTGTAACCTCAAATACAGCTCCCTACCCCTGTTGTGTTTGAGGGTTTACTCGTAGAATTAACAGCACTTGTTGAATTAATTGACTATTTTTAGGCTAAATGTAACACAGATATGATTGCAGCCTATTGTCACAGCCTTATGAACTTGCTTTTACTACCAATTCAAGCATTCTGATTGGTTGAAATATTCCAACGAAATATCAGTGACCTCTGGTGGCAGTCGTATGCTATAAACAATGCTGCAATCTTTCAAAATATGAGGCTAAAATGCTAAAACATTACCAAAGATGGCAGACTGGGTGTTCATAATGCTAAAACATTACCAAAGATGGCAGACTGGGTGTTCATAGTGCTAAAACATTACCAAAGATGGCAGACTGGGTGTTCATAGTGCTAAAACATTACCAAAGATGGCAGACTGGGTGTTCATAGTGCTAAAACATTACCAAAGATGGCAGACTGGGTGTTCATAGTGCTAAAACATTACCAAAGATGGCAGACTGGGTGTTCATAGTGCTAAAACATTACCAAAGATGGGGTGTTCATAGTGCTAAAACATTACCAAAGATGGCAGACTGGGTGTTCATAGTGCTAAAACATTACCAAAGATGGCAGACTGGGTGTTCATAGTGCTAAAACATTACCAAAGATGGCAGACTGGGTGTTCATAGTGCTAAAACATTACCAAAGATGGCAGACTGGGTGTTCATGATGCAAAAACATTACCAAAGATGGCAGACTGGGTGTTCATGATGCTAAAACATTACCAAAGATGGCAGACTGGGTGTTCATGATGCTAAAACATTACCAAAGATGGCAGACTGGGTGTTCATAATGCTAAAACATTACCAAAGATGGCAGACTGGGTGTTCATAATGCTAAAACATTACCAAAGATGGCAGACTGGGTGTTCATAGTGCTAAAACATTACCAAAGATGGCAGACTGGGTGTTCATAGTGCTAAAACATTACCAAAGATGGCAGACTGGGTGTTCATAGTGCTAAAACATTACCAAAGATGGCAGACTGGGTGTTCATAGTGCTAAAACATTACCAAAGATGGCAGACTGGGTGTTCATAGTGCTAAAACATTACCAAAGATGGCAGACTGGGTGTTCATAGTGCTAAAACATTACCAAAGATGGCAGACTGGGTGTTCATAGTGCTAAAACATTACCAAAGATGGCAGACTGGGTGTTCATAGTGCTAAAACATTACCAAAGATGGCAAAACATTACCAAAGATGGCAGACTGGGCGTTCATAATGCTAAAACATTACCAAAGATGGCAGACTGGGCGTTCATAATGCTAAAACATTACCAAAGATGGCAGACTGGGCGTTCATAATGCTAAAACATTACCAAAGATGGCAGACTGGGTGTTCATAAACATTACCAAAGATGGCAGACTGGGTGTTCATAGTGCTAAAACATTACCAAAGATGGCAGACTGGGTGTTCATAGTGCTAAAACATTACCAAAGATGGCAGACTGGGTGTTCATAGTGCTAAAACATTACCAAAGATGGCAGACTGGGTGTTCATAGTGCTAAAACATTACCAAAGATGGCAGACTGGGTGTTCATAGTGCTAAAACATTACCAAAGATGGCAGACTGGGTGTTCATAGTGCTAAAACATTACCAAAGATGGCAGACTGGGTGTTCATAGTGCTAAAACATTACCAAAGATGGCAGACTGGGTGTTCATAGTGCTAAAACATTACCAAAGATGGCAGACTGGGTGTTCATAGTGCTAAAACATTACCAAAGATGGCAGACTGGGTGTTCATAGTGCTAAAACATTACCAAAGATGGCAGACTGGGTGTTCATAGTGCTAAAACATTACCAAAGATGGCAGACTGGGTGTTCATAGTGCTAAAACATTACCAAAGATGGCAGACTGGGTGTTCATAGTGCTAAAACATTACCAAAGATGGCAGACTGGGTGTTCATAGTGCTAAAACATTACCAAAGATGGCAGACTGGGTGTTCATAGTGCTAAAACATTACCAAAGATGGCAGACTGGGTGTTCATAGTGCTAAAACATTACCAAAGATGGCAGACTGGGTGTTCATAGTGCTAAAACATTACCAAAGATGGCAGACTGGGTGTTCATAATGCTAAAACATTACCAAAGATGGCAGACTGGGTGTTCATAATGAAGATTCAGATTGAGATTCTGCGTCAATAACAAACTAGCATTGCTCCATTTTGGATTCTCCTAGGTGTGTGACAATATGGCGGAACACAGAATTATGGGATCATTGACCTCTATTCTTAGTGTCTATCTAAAAAGTTGCTACAAGTGATAATTATTGATAGTCGTAATGGTTCTTCAGAAAAGATAATTTAAAATAATCAGTATAATTAGGGATAGATATCACAATACACCGTTTTATTTGCTCACCTGGCCAAAACTTTTTACTTTAAACAACTTCTTTTCAATAACCAATGGTAGAATGTTTTGATATTTGGCTGGTATGTCCCTATGATGAAGCTCTACAAAGTCTACAAACAGAAATGGCCTTGACCTATATTCAACATCAAGGCCTAGAGGCATGATATTTGGTTGGTATGTTCTTAGGATGAAGCGTGACAAAGTTAGGGGAAATAATAACTTGACTTATTTTCCAGGGAACTTTGAAGTATTGATTACAGGAAAAGTTTAAGTTTTACATTTTCCCCATGGAAGGGAGTAATGTTTACTACAGTTTATATAGGAAAATGACATTTTTGAGCATAATTTGTTTAATTTCTTTCAGAAATAGTTCAAACTTAGTCAGAATTATTAGTGTAAACTGACAATTCAATGAGCTGCACATTTTGATCTCAGCCGACCCCCGGGGCTGATGGACCGGCCCAAAAATGGGTCAAAGTGACTGAAATTTTTTAAAATCTTCTCGAAATGTCCTCAAATGAGAAGGACTGTGGCATGATATCGGCTTGTCATGTTGCGAAGCAGACGCTGTTTAGTCATTTTTGGAATTTGTGGTCCTTCTTGACAAAAGCTTCTATCAATTGACAGGAAGCTGTGGACAATCTAATGTGATGCTATAACATGTCCCATCCATTTTCGATCAAATTAAGGTCAGATGAAAGACTAGGCAAGTTCAAAAGCTCAATGGTTTCTCACAGGACATTCAGAACAGGCACAAAATTTGGTAATTGCTTTTACGTTAAGTCTACACAGACTTTCAACAAAAGCACAATTGACAGTTTGATTTCAACCCTTTGTTACTTAAGGTCTTGCCACATGTTTACTGTAGGATGTACGGGCAAATTATTACTTTATTTAAGCAATTTCAGCACATGTGTGCTGATTTTTTTCTACTTTCAGTGTACCATTTGATTAGATTTGTATTTGAGATTTGTATGTAATTCTTGATTTTTGTTTTATTTCTGAATAAACCAAAGCTCTCGGACAAGCCAGAGATCCTGTCATCCAAATCACCAGATCTTCTCTCCTTCAACATTGCTGGTCTTAGAGATGTTGTCGGGAAACATGGTGCTCAGTCATCTGAAGCAGCGGACGCATCTAATCTAGTCACGGACTTCATTCACAAGGTGTGTCTTCTTTTCATTTCACATCCATTGTTTAAGGATCTTTCGTGATAACCTTGTCAACGTTTCATAACTCCCTCTTTTATGTTTTATACCTCCTATTTCTTAGAATTACTGCCTGTCTTTGGATGGGTCATTCATACCTTACACATTCTGCCTGTCTTTGGATGGGTCATTCATACCTTACACATTCTGCCTGTCTTTGGATGGGTCATTCATACCTTACACATTTTGCCTGTCTTTGGATGGGTCATTCATACCTTACACATTCTGCCTGTCTTTGGATGGGTCATTCATACCTTACACATTCTGCCTGTCTTTGGATGGGTCATTCATACCTTTCACATTCTGCCTGTCTTTGGATGGGTCATTCATACCTTTCACATTCATATATGTTGAAAGGCGAAGATAATCCTCGGTGGATAGGATGTGATGAGCCATTCACCAAGAATGTTTTTATCGTAACACTACATGTCTAAAAACCTGAAGATTCTAGGTTACCTGAAAGATGTTATAATAGACGATGACATACCATTTTAATCTTTTGTCATAATATATCCATTTAAAATTTTTAGCATTTGTCTTTTACTTTTTGGTGTGTTTAATGTTATTTCATTTTGGATCGCTGTGTGTTTTTACCAGTTGATGGCCTAAGTGACCTTTTATGTGTTGATGGGCTGTTAAGAATGTCATGATAATAATAATACTGCCTGTTTGCAATTTAAAGCAAGTTCTTCTCTATATTGATTTACAATGTACATTTAGTCATGAATTTTATAAAACCAAAAACAGGCTTTAATCAATATATTATTATTTCAACCTTAGCTTTTTCTGTATGGGGGTGAGGATGCAGAATGAGGTGTTGCATCCAACTTAAGTCAAAATTGGCATAATATAAAGACAATTAAAAAGAATATTTTCTGGTTTGTTTCAACCAGACGCTTTATGTCACCTGATTTTGTTTGCTGCAAAGATGGTAAATATGTGGTGTTGAAAAATATCTAAATATTATATATGTCCATGGTGCAGTATTTCAGATGAACATTTGATATGAAATCAGAAGTTTTAATAGGAATGATTTTCATGTTTCTGTATCTGCATATCTGTATTGAGTATTAAAATAATTTTTTTTTGCTAGATCACAGATGACTTCCGTCATCTTTACAAGGACAATGTCATAGTGGAGGTGTTGGTTTTGACCCCACAAGCTCAAGGTTACGTAAGGAAGGTCAGAAGTCTCAAGGCAACAGCTGTAAGTGTACCTAAATTTGAAATGTTGATATCATAGTAATTTGGATACTGAAGTGAAATTTCAAGAAGCCTAGTAATGTGAAAGTGTATTGTTTCTTTAAATGATGCTATTGATGGAATTGAACAGAGAAACATTTTATTTAGTATGTTTCAACTTTAAGATGGTTTCTTCTTCGGCTGGTAAGACCAGTAGGATTTTTTATACCCAACAATGATAAGTGGAATGCATAGTCCTCGCTATAGGTAGAAAATCCTCTATGTTAAAAATGTTACAATTTTTAAATTTTAAACTGTAGATTTTGTGTAATACTTTATTTACAGGAAGTGACGGGGGATATTCCAGACGTGAACTTGTCCAAGGATTATGATGAAGACTACTCTAGTGTATTTAACATCATTTTATGGTTCATGATCGTCATGGCGATTGTTTTGTTTGCTGTCTGCTATGGTATGTGGAATATGGACCCCGGCAGGGATAGCATCATTTATAGAATGACTACGACACGTCTAAAGAAGGATTAGATCTTAGTCTCTTGGCGTGTTCTGTTTATAAGTGGACTATGGCGGCAGAGCTCATCAGGTTGAAGATAGTATCAAAATTTCTAGAAAAATAAACTTTTTCAATCCTTTTTTTTCCTAGAATTAATTAAATATTCTTAATATATGGATGATTATTTAGAAATGCAGCAAACACAAATGAAATTGTTGAAGAATATGAAAATACAAATAGCCAAGAAGGTTGTATTTGCCTCATTTGGTATAAGAAGTTTATAGCTTTTTAAGTACAGTAGAGCCAAACGCTTTGATGATTCATAAATGAATGTTTTGAGTTTTAAATCATCTGATCTTATAAACAGAACACATGAATTAGGTCTATTGATAGATTTATATAGGTAAAGTAATTTGAGGCCATTCTACAGAGAAAAGCTAAAATTAGAAAAAAAAATCCACACTTTAGATGAAGTTACAGGGTAATCTTACACATAAATTATCTCTGATTTAAAACTAAAAATCTACGAAATATATTTGGCTATTGGGCTGTAAGACAGCAGGGAGACCAGAAGGTTTTAGTTTGGTGCAAACTATCATAGGGCCATTTCGCTGAAGAAAAACTAAAAATTGCTGACGTCTGAAGTTTTCAAATTTATGTGTGTTTTATTAATGATGTATCTAGTCTTGTCTGATGTGGATGTAATTAATATGATTTGATTAAAAGTGAATCAGTTGTTGCTATTTATGAAGTTATAAGAAAATAATGTTAAGATTAAAAATCTTTGTATAGATATGTGAATAATTCAACATTGAAGAATTTTATTAATTTCATAGTTATGAGATATAATTGTGCTGATATTTGTGTGTAAAGTATGTAAGGTGATATGTAAACATAGGTGTATTTAGTCATTTCTGCTCATACTATAGAAAATCCATTTAGCATAGTCCCAAGATGTGGTCCTGTGACTTTGAATTTTTCTTCATTCCGAGAAATTCTTTTGTCGATATTGGAAGAAATTATTTTAATTCACAAGACATGCCAAAGTCGGAAGGACTTTTTTCTTCTCACAATGTAACAGTATATATATATGTATCGTATATATGTATCTAATAATACACAACAATATGAAAGTCTGTGACAAGAAAACAGCAAAATGACTGAATAAAAAAGTACAGTTTTATAATTTACCTACCATATGTTTTGATTAAGCTAAGTGAAGCTGATGATGTGATAAGTGTGTTAGAGTAGGAGAGGTATCTCACCTTGGATGTATATATTATATATGAATATCTGGGAGCTGTTAGCGTAAAAATGGATCATTACATGTTTTATATTGTGTAGAATAACACATTCCGTTTAGGTCTGTAACTATTACAATTATATATATATTACTGTTTTTGTCCTTGTCTATGTGTGTGATTCAACTGTTGTACACTGTTATGGGTGATCAATTCCCAAAATTGAGAAGACTTCTGTACTAAATGTGTCTGCACAATTTTGCAACTTAACCCCAAACCTCACTTTCCCTTTGATTATATCAATTTCATGAATGTTATTCCAGTGAAAATACATCACATTCAAATTTTAATACTATCCAAGTTAAATATTCAAACGTGACCTATAAATTGAACTTATGTAAATCAAAATATATGTTCCGATAAATTTTCAATATCTTATGGAACTTGATGATGTATTGTGAACAGAAAGTGATGACAGCTACTCTGATACAATGTTAGATTTAACAAGACTATGTTGTCTTGTATATTTCTTTTAATATGAAGCATTTTTTTACCTTTTTTTTGCAGTTATTTTGTTCAATATTTTTATTGAATTCCAATTTGCTGCAGTCCAGTCATTACAAGTTATAAGGTTAAATTGTTTTGAGTGGAAAAGTAATTAAGCTGGGTGTGTGGCGAGATTGAAACCAAATTATCATTATACATGTGATGCTTATACAACATACAAATGTAGATCAACATTATTGTCACTTAGTAACCAAGAACAAAAAATATGTTTATATAATATTGTCTCATTTTCATATCAGGATACCTTAAATTGCACTTTCTATATGTTGGTGGGTAGATTTATCAGATAAATAAATCAGGTATACAAAGTATGATGTTTGTTTTGTTTTGTTAAGGAGAAACTGTATACAACAGAACCTAAATGTAACACAAAACACCACTGAAGCTGCATGTGCTGATTTACCTCCTGTATATATAATTTGATGTGTTGTGTGTATTTCCTGTTTCCTAACCATCACTATTTTTTGCTAATGACCTAATTTTTTTCATTTTTTTGGTTCACATACTTTTTTAAATTTTGATTGATTGCATTTAATGGTGTTAATAACCTTAAACACCGTGATCCATCAATTAAATTGCTACAAGAAATCCTTCATCTTTTGAAAATCTTTATTTGTATCTATTGAACAATTTGCAACATAGCCATGTTTTGTACCAAGGAAAGATTAAAATTAATTCTGAAAGCACCATACATAAAAATCAACATGCTGGTATTCTCACTCATATATTAAACACGTTTTGTCCTATTAAAGATTATACTGTACCAGTTAGATCTATAGTTAACATACAAAATAGCACTACCATTGAGTAGGGTTTTAACTGCAGACTGATCTAAATTGTATTGTAAGCAATCTACCAAAAATAATTGGCATAAAGTGATACTTTCAAACTTCCTAAAATGACTATAGGAAAGATTTATGCTACATCTTTTTCTGACAAACTTATACCTTAAAGAAAGGTATTTTCTGTTCCTGTTGGACAAATGGGCTGATTTTATCACAATTTCTGTCCAACAACTTAACTATAGTATATTTTCAGCCAACTCTAAAATTCCTAAAGATGTACAACTTCAGAAAAAATTATTCTGACAAAACCAGCCAATAGTTGTATAAGTTTGTAGTTCATTGATATTCAACAATATCAGTGAATTGGGAAATCATCCAAGAAAATCATTTAATATACCGAAGTTAAAAGAATCCAACAAAATGTTTCCCTCTAAAAATCTTCAAATTTTATCCTGATTTGAGTTGCAAACTACTTACACACACCAAAGGTTAATGCAGTACTATTTGCTTTCTGATCAGTTGATTTTAATACAACTGTACATGGATGTCAATGGAGGGGGGTTGTACTTGATTCCACTTGTTTGTTGAGTGAGACAAATATCAGACCAAAAGGACCATTATGATAGTGTAATTAAGTAATGCCCAGGTAAACAATATTTTGTAAAGAATCTATCTTCATACAAAAGTAAAATTACACCTGTGTAATCAACATCCAAGGAATCATTTCCGTACATATTAGCATTCACACAAGGTTTAAATTTAAATTAAACAAAATTCAATCATCAACAGTGATAAACTAATTAGTTGCAGTACATAAATCAAACAAAAATCCTGAATCTTGTAAAAGGATTTTTCAAGACTAATGAACGCCGACTTACTATGACATGTACTAGATATGACTGACATCAAGAGACACATGGCAACAAAAAGACGACATGGTATAAACAGGATGTAAAACAATTTAAAATCAATTACAAACTGACAACAACAATAACAGGTATTCTATTATGAAATATATGTTTGGTTGTTAAAAATCATTTTAAGAGGTAGCTGAAGAATTCTTATTGTATCTGAAAAATATCAAAATAATTTTTCATATCAGGTATATTTAAGTAGAATATTTAGTAAGTACATACTTTTTTATCATTACCAATCAAATATTGGAACAAGGGGATACACATTGTATATACTGTATGTAAATGCAGAATATATTTGAATTCTTTCCCAAAAATTAGTTCAACTTAATCTAACAATCATTCAGTATATTTAAATAACAAACAACTGCATATCAATGATATATATAGCTCTCTTCAAACCCGCAAAAATTAATAAATAAAAATTCAATGAACTTATAATTTTTGTTTTTTAGAAAACAATAGCTTAAAAGGTTTTTTATGAGAAAATGTTGCAAATTTCATTTATGAAAAGACTGACGAAATGCGAAGTCAGGTGATGGTTGCAAGTATGTAAACAATTCATAATAATTTCATCATCATTTTAATGCAACTTAAATAAAGCAAAGCATCAATTACCACAAAGTTCATCCATCAGTTTGTAAAATACTTATAACTGAGATATCAACTCGTCAAGTAAGTAGTTAATGTGAATTCTTAAATTCATTGAAAAATCTTAATTTTCCCAAAAAACATGTTGTTTAATTCCTCTGGAAAATCTTAATTTTCCCAAAAAACATGTTGTTTAATTCCTCTGGAAAATCTTAACTTTCCCGAAAAACATATTGTTTAATTCCTCTGAAAAATCTTGTGTTGTTTAACTTTCACAGAAGATGCCCTCTGAAAAATCTTAATTTTCCCAAAAAACATGTTGTTTAATTCCTCTGGAAAATCTTAATTTTCCCAAAAAACATGTTGTTTAATTCCTCTGGAAAATCTTAATTTTCCCAAAAAACATGTTGTTTAATTCCTCTGGAAAATCTTAATTTTCCCAAAAAACATGTTGTTTAATTCCTCTGGAAAATCTTAACTTTCCTGAAAAACATGTTGTTCAATTGCTCTGCAAAATCTTAATTTTCCCAAAAAACATGTTGTTTAATTGCTCTGAAAAATCTTAATTTTCCCAAAAAACATGTTGTTTAATTCCTCTGAAAAGTTTGAATTTTCCTGAAAAATGTGTTGTTTAATTCCTCTGAAAAGTTTGAATTTTCCTGAAAAATGTGTTGTTTAATTCCTCTGAAAAGTTTGAATTTTCACAGAAAATGCCCTCTGAAAATCTGAATTTTCACAGAAAATGTGGATTTCTGAATTATTTACTGGATGGATGACACTGGTTATCAAACTCATGTGAGGTCTTAGAAATATAAATCCACATACAAAAGTCAGCGAAATTCTGACAAGAAATACACAGGTTGATGTGCAGAAGGTAAACACCGACAAGTAGTCCAGGTGATTACTATAGGGCACCTCTATAGGGGGCAATCGAATGTCCAGAAAAATTTTAAATGTTGATATCGTTGCTAAGATAAGCGACAATGTTCCCTTATTTGGTCTTTCAAGTGATCGTTAAACTTTTCTTGATATGAAGATATGACAAAATCAAACAAAAGATCATCATAAATTACTAAACATGTGTTAACTGTAAAAACAACAACAGTAGTAAGAGTAATACCTTATAGAGACCAAACTAACGATCTACTCTGAATTATACACACACTGAAGGTGATGTAAGAATTCAGGATCATTGTGAGCAGTAAATGAAAATGGTATGATTACTTCAGGATATGGCAGGACTTTCCTCGAAGTTATCACCGAGATCTGGTTTATAAGTACCAAGTACTCTTATACCAGTATGGACAGTAAACCTAAGTAGTGCGATTTCTTTTGGATATGGCAGGACTTTCCTAGAAGTTATCACCAAGATCTGGTTTATAAGTACCAAGCATTCCTATACCATACATATCCATGCACTTGTATAATATTGTCCGAAGTTAACATTAACCTGCTTAAACTGAATATTACTTTCATGAACAGCTGCAGAGTCTCAGTAAAAAGGACAACAAGACTCTGTGGACAGGTAGCAGAATTAAACTCATTTATGAGATATCTGCTTGGTGATGTAATTTTGTTTGTTTCAGCTATAAGTCTAAGGAATATTGCTCTTAAATTTCGATTTATCACCGATGAAAATTGTAAATCTTTGCATTTATACAATATTATGATGATGCTATCTTTCCTGTTATAAACATCCTAGTACACAATCTTCATTAATTAAATATGAAAAAATAATAATAATAAAAAAAATTGTTGATCATTGGGACTTTGTTTTCATTACAAATAATAATAAAAAAAACCAAGAGAGGTATGGTATAAATTGACAAACATTGTTTGGATTTCATTAATCATCTGACATAAGTGATAAATACTTAAAACATGATTTAAAGTAAAGTGGTTACACAGCAATTATTACATAATTGTTCAATCAAAATCTAGAAAATATTGTAGAGTGAAAGTGAAACTTGTCTGACACTTGGTCAGTATTAGACAGGGTGTCATATAAAAAGGTGTATTTGGCAGTTCTCCAAAGAGACAGGATCACATTTGTTAGTTAAATGTGATTGAGTGTCAAAAACCAGACTACTGGATCAGACAGGTTTCACTTCACATCAATCTTCAAAAAATTCAAATATTGCAGTCACTGACTGCTATGACTAATTCCTCTACAGTTCAGATATGTTATCAAAATAAAAAGAAGGAGAGGACGAAGAAAAAGAAAAAAAAAAGAAGAAAGAAGAAGAAAAGAGAAGAAGAAGAAGAAGAAGAAGAAGAAGAAGAAGAAGAAGAAGAAGAAGAAGAAGAAGAAGAAGAAAAAAGAACAAGAGGAAGAAGAAGGAGAAGAAGAAGGAAGAAGAAGGAAGAAGAAGGAGAAGAAGAAGGAAGAAGAAGGAAGAAGAAGGAGAAGGAGGAGGAGGAGGAGGAGGAGGAGGAGAAGGAGAAGACGAAGAAGAAGAAGAAGAAGAAGAAGAAGAAGAAGAAGAAGAAGAAGAAGAAGAAGAAGAAGAAGAAGAAGAAGAAGAAGAAGAAGAAGAAAGAAGAAGAAGAAGAAGAAGAAGAAGAAGAAGAAAAAAGAACAAGAGGAAGAAGAAGGAGAAGAAGAAGGAAGAAGAAGGAAGAAGAAGGAGGAGGAGGAGGAGGAGAAGAAGAAGAAGAAGAAGAATGAAGAAGAAGAAGAAGAAGAAGAAGAAGAAGAAGAAGAAGAAGAAGAAGAAGAAGAAGAAGAAGAAGAAGAAGAAGAAGAAGAAGAAGAAGAAGAAGAAGAAGAAGAAGAAGAAGAAGAAGAAGAAGAAGAAGAAGAAGAAGAAGAAGAAGAAGAAGAAGAAGAAGAAGAAGAAGAAGAAGAAGAAGAAGAAGAAAAAAGAACAAGAGGAAGAAGAAGGAGAAGAAGAAGGAAGAAGAAGGAAGAAGAAGGAGAAGGAGGAGGAGGAGGAGAAGAAGAAGAAGAAGAAGAATGAAGAAGAGGAAGAAGAAAGAAGAAGCCAGGATCTGGATTTGAAATAAGAGAAATTAAAGA